AAGTCTAAAAATTTATATTAAAAAAATCATTTAAAATTTAATAAATTATATTAAATTTATATATTATATTATATAAATTTAGTATAATATAATATAAAAATTAAAATATTAAATATTATTATATAAAAAAAAATTAATATAATCTATATGTATATATTATATATACATATAAATAATATATAGATTTATTTTGATATGCATAGCGCCAAAAAAAGCTGACAAAAAACGTTACATGCTTTTTTTTAAAAGGGATGACCCTAGGATTCTTCCAACAATAAGATGATCCTTCATGTCCCTGCGGGTGTAAGAAGTGCTTTTTATCTCTTCGGATATAAAGTAGTATATGCACCACGGTCGAAAAATGTTTTCTGACTCATGTGATTATATCTCTCGCCTTCGGCTTGTGATATAACGTCACATTCATCAGAAAACACTTTTCTCTCGCGGGGTACAATATATATATACTATTTCATTCACCCGTATTATTTGTTCACCAACATTGAAAACGTGTTAAACATAGAGAAAGACAATTCTGGGTTGGGGACTGTCACCGGTTATTGACTAAGAGTGGGCATTTCATCCCTCAAACAACCCTTGCTCTCCTCCCCTAGTTTACGATACCTCCCGTGGTCACCCTATACGTACAGTTGTCCTCTAGATTTATTTAGCAACGTTGATAACTTGTTAATCAATAAAAATGCTCAGCATGGGTTTTGAACTGTATACAGAGCTAACACATTCATTTAATTGCCCAGATCCTTCAACAATGTTTCTATTACACGTAAATAATATAGCAGTAATGTGAAAATAACCGTAACACATTCGTTATTTTGATACTCCTCATAATCACCATTCAGCTTCAAATATGGGTTTTTTGCTCGACTTAACCCAGAGTTGACCTCCACTATGAATCATCAGGGAAATACTGAAACATCCGTAAAAATTGCCCTATGGAACACGATTTGTCACAACATGTTTGAGACAATTTTTACGGTACCTTCCATACTTTTCCCCGAAACCGAAGATTACGTCACCCCACGATTACGTAAAAGTTACGTAGTTTTGACATAATTTTTCTCTTCCTATGTCACTTCTATAAACACATTTGACAAACCATCCATCTCATACAACTTCAATTATACTGGTAACAAAAATTATAGATGAAATATAGATATGTGAATTTTTTTTGCAACAATATTGCCCAGATATGTTTAATCATATTTCACTTGTCTTATGGCAAAAAAAGTCTGAAAATCGTGAATTGGCAGTAAAAGAGTTGAATCGATAAGAACGCCTCATATTTTAGGTAGCCATAGAAACGCATTCCGCTTGTGACATTAACTTCATATGAGGTTTACTGCTTGTTTACGAACATCACAATCCGATAAAATTGTCCAACTAAAACAGCGGATGCACAAAGTAGCCTAAATTGAGTTGTAGTCATGGAACACTGGAAGCAAAGCGTGAAAACAGGGGTTGGAAGTTTGCAAAACCCTCCACATATAGAATATAGTGACGAAACCAAGTGCCTCGTAAAAAGTTGAGAATATGAATGGGTGTTAACTTTTACGGAATATGACAGGAAAGTTCATTAACTCATTTCATTCGAATTTCTAGTGCTGATGGAGGAGTCTAAGTTGTCGATGATACAAAGGATACCAATTAAAAATGCTATAAACAGGGGTGAGCCACTTCCACTACCATCTAAAGTTACTACTCCTCAAAAAGATAAACATACGGTAATTATAGGTTTTCGTCCAACTATGAGTTTGAATCATCATTTTGGTTTTTTTGCTTCAGACTAGTTTTTCTCATTACTGGAGAAAGCGATCACAGGAGGCCATCGTGAATGGAGGAGCATATGAACGAGAACAATATCGAAGGACTACTCCTTTATGTAATTACACATATTCCGTTAACTCAAAACCGCTAACGTATTTCCCTGTTTGGCATCAATATTTTACAGAAAAACGTTTTTTGCTGATTAAAAAAAAAAATTCTTGCCTTCAAAAATATTCTCAAAATTCCTCACGGCTTCATCTTAGGTTACTTCAGATTTCACTCGATAAAATTTAGAATTTATATTCTAGTGAATAAAGATGAACAAAAAAGATTTCTGGCCTGCATGATGACCTATGGAAAAGAGGTACCAGAGACTCCCCATAAGTCGGTGCTACGCCATTGTCGACAAACAGAATTAGAGCGTCGTGCTGACGTCGAGCATGCGGACTATCGTAATTATGCAGGATTGATGATTTCTCTCATACTTCAAATTGACTTTGATTTATTCTATATCTACCATGTCTTATTCTGTAATAGTTACCCAAGGAATACGAGAACGGATCGAGTTCCTCCAAGAAATGGAATCCTTAGGACTTGGTAAAAAATACAAGTCAATAATTCAAGACGAAATCGCTCAGAAAATTTCATCGATAGACTCTTTGCCAAAAAAGAACTCAGTGAAGATTTTGATGTATTAAAATACCAGAGATCAGCCCGTAAACCATTTCTATTTGGTGAATTAGAAGATGGCTGAAGATTAACATTGCCATTATTATATAAAACAAGCAGGAATTTCCACATCCTTTCCAGGCAAAATTAGGGAATCGAACGATTACAGTGCTTCCATTCGGAAGCAAACAACGTAAAAATGGCATTATGTCGTAATTTTTGTACAATCATGTATACATATTTTCTTACTTAGTACTTTGTAACAAAAGAAGGAAATCTATCGAGTGCGTCAGTTATTCAAGCAAATAAATTTATGCAAATGGTGTAACCTCTCTGAATCAGCCCCGACCAATTGCGCCCATCCAAAATACCCAGCTTTAATATCATGATAGCTTCAAGAGGACAACATTACAATTCACCATCTCTATTGTTTATCGATTTATTGTGTTCAAAACGTTCATGAGAATAAAAGTTAAAAATGGCGATAACACGAAATTTTATCAGAGCAAATGTAGATATTTCGATTGATATAGATATAAACCAGTGCTGAAACTATTATTTTGGAATAGGAAAATTGAAATCCTTGCGGTAGTTCTTGTGATGTGATGAAAAAATGTCTCCACAGGGGTAGGTAAATCGACTCAGGAGATGATTCTGAGTCGATCTGTACCTATGAATTTCGACCTTTTTTTTCACCCTCACTAACCCTCCCTCAAAATGAACGATGGGATAAAAAAAATGTCTCCACAGGGGTAGGTAAATCGACGCAGGGGATGATTCTGAATCGATCTGTACCTATAAATTTCGACCTTTTTTTTCACCCTCACTAACCCTCCCTCAAAATGACCAATGGGATAAAAAAAAATGTCTCCACAGGGGTAGGTAAACCGACTCAGGGGATGATTCTGAGTCGATCTGTACC